CTCCTCCCCGCCGCCGTGTCTCGAGCGTTCGGAAGTGTCTCCCGGTTTTGCTGGGTGCTGCTTTGTGGCGCGGGGGGCCCTGGTTCATGCCGCAGTTCTGGCACAGCCCCGTAAGAGTCTAATCATCGACTTCCTCCTTGTCTTATTTGATCATAAATTACTTGCCAGAACTGAGTCACGTTTTCCTGAACACAGGCCACTGAGACTGGCACATCCTCCAAGATGGTAAGCTAAAGTGTGGGTTACCCAGAAATAGAAAAAAATGTGAAAAATTGCTATGTGCTCTCGTCATTTCAGGCAATAAACATGCTTACTGATTTTACTAGCAATACTGAAAAATTCCTTCATATTATTGTCACTACTATAACTGGTCCTAAACTGTTTAGGGTTATTTCCCCTGGGATCAATCCAACACTGGATACGATTAGGTGTGCTCTGGAAGTATCCCAAGACTTAAAGATGTTTGAAATCACTTTTGCAAGCATCCTTTGAAATGTAACTTGGTTAATTATTGGCAGGTGCAATTATTTTCATTATGCTGAATACCATTTTGATCATCCTTCAGTATTGTACAGTAATTTTTCTTGAGTGTAGCCCAGCTACTAGCTAGCAAGTATATCGCAGCCATTCAAAACAGCATTTGAAGCCATAAAGTTTCCATAGCATGGTCTGGTGTTGATCAGAAACTTCAAAGGGCTATTTTCTGTTTTAAAATCTGGTTCTTATAAAATGTAGGGACTCTAAAAAATTTTACTTTGGTAAGAAAAAGAAGGGAGGGAAAATGTTCTAGTGAAGCTGAGTCATTTTTAACCAAAACATTTTGTCTGTCAGTATCAGAAAAAATGTTTGTTTTTTGTGTGATGATTTTCCCATCAACTATTTATTGACATTTTTGATTGAAATGATTATCAGATCAGGTTGGCGTTCTGTAGAACATGAATTATCTGATGCTTGTTCTGCTTTAGAAATTAATTTTTTTCCCAATTTGTGAAAGTTCCTGAGAAACAAGAGGCTAATTCCTCCCAGCTCTTGCAGGTGGCTGAGCATCCGGAACAGGAGCCTGCCTGTTTCCATCCCACAACCCTTCCCCGTTCCCTGAGGGGCAGCCGTCCTATGCCAGTCTCTGCTCTAAGGATCCTCTGGCTCATGTCTCAAAGCCTTAATGGAGACTGTGAAATCTGCATGCATTGTGACACACTGACATGCTGTTAATGTGAGACAAGCTGACAGGTACCAGGTTTAAAGACACATCAGACAGAGGTAGTTGGTCTTGCTGTATTTACTTACCAAAGATTTTCCATTCAACAGGTGATTACAGGACTTGGATGACTCTGGTTCAGTAATTCCCACTACAAAGCATGAGAAACATGGCATTATTGGTAATCATCTCATTGGCACAACTTGTATCAAGAGCCTCCTTCCATGCAGTTAAACCCAGATATGAACAGAGCCCAGATTCAGGTCATAGCCCCGCTAGATTTGATTATAACCAAAAGTGCAGAAGTTTCTTTATTGCGATCATCTACTGTGATGTCAAAGCAAATGATTTTGGAATTGCTTAAGTCATTCTGGAAACCCACTCAACTGCTTGCTGCTAGACTTTTCAAACGAGATGATGAACTGTCCTTAGTAGCCCAAGCTAAGTGGGAGCCCTTCCCTTCTGTGAACACTTGTATGTCGGTTCCATCTGCTGCTCCTCAGCAGAGGTTGAGTAATGCAGTTTTTGTGCATCTCGAAGCCCCCACTGCCAGGTTTGTCCTGACTAGGAGATCACTCTCCTTTCTAGATTGCCCTGGGGAGTTATTCTTACTCGGGCAGAGATGTGTGCTACATCCACCCCATCACACGGAAGGATTTCAACCTTTCTATCTGCCCGTAGCTGGGTGGCACCTCTCTCTGCTGTCTTCAAACCTGGAGGTTACCTTTCAATTACAAGTAAGCACCCAGCCAACAACTTATCCATGGACAAATGCTCACTGACTATCCTGCTAGTTGTGCCGAGGAAATAAATGAGTGAGGGATGCCAGATGTTTTCATGGAGCCAAGCCTTTCCATTTGGCTGTGGGAATGTGGAGATCTCTATTTTTTCATTTGTTTCTTTCTATTCCTGCCTGTTTTAGGTGGTCTGATGTTTTTTAAAAGGATATTTAGGTAAGTGAAAAGCAAGGATCTACAGAAACACCAAGATTCACCAAGGCAGAGCATAGAATATGATTCACAACTGCTGTGACCAATGGAATATAAACAATGACAGCAAACATCAGAAATAGCCAAGATGCTGCTTATAGTGCTATCTCCAGCATGAGTTAGCAGTCAGAACAGTCTTATCCTTCTGGGGGCAATATTTGACCATGATAAATATCTTAACTAGCCTCTCCCCAGCTCCCCCCCTCTCCCACCAGTAATTCCATTAGGTACCTAGCTGTATCCCTCACGTCAAAGTTTAATTCAATTACCTCCTCTCATCTTGCGTATTAGGTACTAACAACATTCAGCAAGTGGCTCCAGGCATCAGTGCTTCAGCTAATGTCCACATTTTTTTCTTTCCTTTTTTTTGTTGTTTGCTCTTATTTTGTCTGATCCTTCCCTTCTGTCTGTCCTTCTTTTTATTAGCTACAGAAAATGTTCTGGCAAAGTTTTAGCAAAATATGTAAGCTAAAGTAAATCTTCATGGCTCCAGGTTTGAAAGTGCTCTTTAGGACAGTGGTGACAGGTGCGGTGCAAATTCCACTTCCAGAAGGTGCTATGGATGTCCAGGCCTGGGGCAAGAGTTGCTCCACATCTGTTACTCTGACTTGCCCTGTGTTTCCAAGATGAGTACTTGTAAAAAAACTTGCTACAAAAGCGAGTGCTTCTTTCTTGGAGAATAAGTGCCATTTTTTTTAACCTATCCATCCTGTGAAGCAAAGCACAGCTTTGAGTGCAGACACGGGTTTCTTGTTCTGGCCTTTCACCACACTTACTTGCCTCCCTGCATTCTGGAAT